AAGAGCAAAAGTTAAACTATATCTCAAGTACTTACAAAAATATTCTCTGACCTTATTTCTTGTCACTAAATAATTTGGTAGACACGATTTTTTACTTGAATTATTAAAAGAAATTGGCACTGAATTTATTTTTGTATGAGAGACAAGGTGAAAATAATTCAATGTTATCGAATTCGTGTAATTTATTTAAGGGTAAATTACAAACACCTCCCTGAGGTATGGTCAATTTACGAAAAATCCCCTTTTGTTTGGATAATTATATCTACCCCTCAACTATGATTTTTTCTTACACCTCCAGCCTTACGGTGTCAAGTTCAACATAATCATCTAGATCTTGTAGAATGTGCTCTAGTTTGTACTCGTATTGTGTAAAAATACAGTTTCTGATGCACCACAATCTGATATATACAAGCCAAAAAACACATATTATGGTCATCTTGCTTCAAAATGTAAAGTTCGAATTGGATAGAATGGGTACAAAAGTGATAATATTCTATATAATCTCGAAGATTCCACTAAATTTGAAACTGCAATGGTGGACGTGTAAAAGGATTTATAGTTAAGGGGTGGTGGTAATTACCCAAACAAGAGGGGGATTTTCATAATTTGGCCATACCTTAGGGGTGGTTATAATTTACCCATTATATAATACAGATAATATAAAATCGGAGATTTATATAAATGATTTGATAAATACTAGTGTAAAGATATATTTTGCAACGAAAATTATTCAACACAAGTTTTAAATATCCACAAGTATATAACTTGTCGATATGCATTTACAGATGAAAACTTTATTTAATCAATATTCAAAGAATACAAAGGCGAAGTAATGTTCTTCCCTTTATGAACAATCACAAGTTAATTTCCCTGTACAAGAATTCCTACGAAACAGTATTCAATGATATTGAATACAAATAAACTCAATCATGCAGTGAGAAAAATATAAATGAAACCAAGGTCTTGTACAAGATGTTCCAATACCTAAAGTTCTATCCTCTTAATTCTCTTTAGAAATACGTGAGTAAATGAACTGAGAACCTCTTCTATTTATAGAATTTAAGAGCTCCTTGTCCTGCACGACTATGAACACACTACAAGAGATAATGAGTTAGTGGATCAGGGGATTAATTAGCATGTGTTAAAATAATTAGGGTGTTTCTATCATGAGATCATGTGTTTTAAACTTATATGAGATACCCCTTCAAATTGCGACACGTGTCCCAGAAAAAAACCTATTTTTTCCTCATTTATGTATTGTCGCAAATACCCTTTGTACAATAATTATTTTTAAAAAATCGGCAATTATAAATAATTAATGAAATGTCAATTTTACCGAAGTCAATTATATCATTATTCATAAAATAATTAAACCACCCATCCAAAATTACATCAACCTGAATTCAAACTTGTGACCATCTGAAAACATACAAGAATACTTACCATTAAGACACAACACATAATTGACAATAAACTAACAATACGGATATATATCACAAAGCTACAATTTCTAATGGTTATAAAACTTATATAAATAATGTTAAATAAATTATTAAATCTCATATAATTATTATTATATATTAATAATATCCCATACTAACAAATCTTTATATAATATATTTTAAAACTCTAAGGAAATGCTGATCAACTCGTGTAATTTAAAAATGAATTTCGAAAGAATTTGAAGTTTGAATTGAATCGTAAATTGTAAGATTTAATTAAATCTTAATATTTGAATCAATTAAACTCATGTGTTTTCAATTCAAAAACAATATTCAAAGATTTGACCGATTAAGCTCAACTCATTTCAATTCGTAGACAATATTTAAATATTTGAATGGGTTAAACTCAATAATTTACAATAGCGTATTAATCAAACTATGTATAGATAAAGTTTAGTATCTTTTTTTATGAATTTTATCATTAAAAATAATAAAATTTAATTCGTAAAAATAATAAGATTTAATCGGTTCATGGTTAGATTAAATCTTACGATTTACGATTTGATTCTTACGATTTTACGAATTAAATTATTATTTTTTTGTTAAAATTGAATTAAAAGGATAGTAGACTTTAATTATAAATAGTTAACTCGATTAATACGTTCTTGTCAGTGGTTGAACTTAATCAATTCAAATTTTTGAATAATATTTACAAATTAAAAGGATTTGTGCTTAATTGATTCAAATCATACGCTTTAATTAATCTTATGATTTGATTCTTACTTGATTTAGGAATTTTTTTTATGATAAAATTGAATTAAAAATGTATTACACTTTAATTAATAATAGTTAATTTGCTTAAGACGTTCTTTTCAATAGTTGAGCGCGCTAATTAATCGATTCAAATATTATATTTGAAGAATGTTTACAAATTGAAAGGACTTGAGCTGAATTGGTTCAAATATTACGCTTTGATCAAATATTACGATTTACGATTAGGTTCTTACATGTGTTAGGAATTAAATTTATTATTTTTTATGACAAAATTAAATTAAAAGATATTAGACATTACTTATAAATAGTTAAGTCAATTATGTAACATGATATGTCAATAGTTAAGCAACCGATTCAAATATTTGAATAATGTTTACTAATTGAAAGGATTTGAACTTAATCGATTCAAATCTTACTATTTGATTAAATTAAATATTAAAAGAAAATTCACAATATAGTATTTATAGTATATAATTTTATTTTAAAGTGAGAAAAGAACTAATTGGAATGAGTTATAAATTTTCTTCTTCTAAATAAACATATTATTTTATTTTTTATTTGGATTTGTCACACTATCGATTTAATAACAAAAATGAGTTTGAATTAAGTTATGCATTTTCTTTATATTTAATTGAGCATTCTCTATATTTTTAAATGGTGGAGTTTATTAATAATTTTAATATTATATAATTAATGATAGATTTTTGGCGTATTGAACTGCAATTCTTTATATTTTTCAAACTTTATTATATTAAATTTGTTAATAATTTATTTAATATCATTTAATAATAATGAATGTTGCAATTAGTATTTTAATTAACAGTATTTATACAATTATGGTTAAATGTATCATAATAAGTTAATGTGCTTGGATGGTTCTAAGTGACGAATGTATTAAGATGTCACAAGTTATATCCCTAATGAATGCATTTTTTTCGATTATCAAATAAAACGGTCACAATGTATTTAAATTAATTATTTAATTAAAGGGGTTATTTTACATACCCCTAGCCACCAAATAAACTAGGGATAAACCCAAGCCCAAATCATCCTTTGATATACCCCCCCTGGAGAAGGGAAAGTACTATACTACCCTTATATGCAATTTTCGGCCAAACTGCATTCAGCATTTCTGGTACTGTATTTATCATTTTCACTGATTTATTTATTATTATTTTCATTTTTTTTTAATAAATAATCATAAACCTGTTTGTTAAATTTATATATATATTTTTTTTATTTTTTTTTTATTTTTTTTTAAATAAAAAAAATTAATTTTTTTTATTTTTTTTATTTATTTTTTATTTTTTTAATTTTTTTAATTTTCAAAACAATACGTTTGCAGTACTGAAAATAACTACGTGTAACTATGGTACCTATAGTAATTCGTAGTTATGTTCGTTTTTTCCCCATATTTTTAGTCGATCAATTGTATACACACACGAATACTGGCTTATACAAAAGAAATTCATAAACCCCAATAAAAATTTACAAATGTCAATATTTTTATTATAAATCACCTGAGAACCAAAAAAAATAAAAAATTGAAAATACACAAATATATGCATATATAACTACATGTTACTATATATGTATAGTAATGTATAGTAATGTATACAGTTTGTCAAACACTGTTTCACAAGTGACTTCAACCAAATTTTTGACACCTTCAAGGAGAGGATCAATGGCTTTCATAAGCTGCAGTTGCAAAATCAAAACAAAAAAAAATTACTTAGTTGCAAATTAACAAAATTTAATGAAACATCAAAACACTCAAAAATCAACAAATACTAAGAGATCGAGAGATAGAGAGAGAGGTTATTGCTGGGAAATGCTACAAATTTTAAATCAAACATACAGTGAATCCTCACCCCCCCCTCGCCTCCTACCAAAACCCTAGGCGCCGCTACTAACCACCCACAGTTTCGTGCACCCACAAATGCAAAAAAATATAGAAATAAATCTGTAAACATAAAAATAAACAAAATTACCATCAAAATATAGATCTCGACGAGAGGAATCCAACGGTGGGTAGCCCGTCGAATTTCGACTGGTGGAACACAAAGAACACCTCCGGCAAGACCACCGTCGTCGAATGAAAAAAAATTGCAGGAACAGATCTGTTCTCCAAACTGAATGAAATCACCACCAAAAGAAAGAGCTCGACGAGAGGATTCCAACGGTAGTTAAACCATCGAATTCCGACCACCGAAGAGAGAGTTATGGCTCCGGGAAGCAATTTCACCGGTGGGAGGTTTGTGGAGACGGGATTTTGAATCTGGAAGAAGAAGAGAGACCGAAATGTGAGTGTGTGTAGGGTTTAAAACTGATTTTACAAGGGTATTATAGGTACTTCAGATGGGCCCAGGGGGGTATGTCAAAATATTTTCGAAATTATGGGGGTTTCCCTTAGAGTGTAATCCACTTGGTAGTTAGTTCTATATAATTTGGGAATGAGTGGGGTCTACAAAATAATCCCTTAATTAAAATATAGTAGTTTTTCGATTATCAAATAAAACGGTCACAATGAATTTAAATTAATTATTTAATTAAAATATAGTAGGAGGTAAATTAGACAATTCAATGTTAATCAATTTTATATTAATTTAATAAAAAAATAATCGAAGGATAATTTGGTAAAGTACTTCATTTTTTAGAACATAGGCCATGTTATTTTCCAAGGGTCCAGATTTAATCTTAGAAAATTAATGATAATTAATATATATCTCATATAAGTTTAGAACACAGGTGATCTCACCCTAAAAAGACCCAAATAATTAACTATTAAGCTGAATATAACCGCACTCACCGAGTAATACTAATAAACTCAATTTAAATAAATAAAATTTATTTTAAAAGAGTTAAATATATAATATAAGATATATCCTTCTGCACCTAAAAGGCTAAACCTAAACGACACAGCCTGTGTAGGTATCAATTTTCGTCTCTGGCGCAACAGCAGCAAATTCTTCATCTTCACAGCAAATTTTGAATTTTGATGTTCGGTATTTATGTTTTATTTTGTTTTTTTAATTTTCAAAGGAAATATCTTCAGTTTTTCCTTTATTTCTTGGTGATTCGCTTATACTAAATGGATTTGATTACTTGGTGTTTGCTATTATATTGTCTCTATGAATTATATTATTATAGGATGCTTTTCTTCACTACTACTCTACAAAAATAATACGTACATAGACTACCAAATAAATCAAGTTGAAATTATTTTTATCAAATTTGCAGTGTACATGTTTACACGATAAGAGCATATGTATATATAATATATTGATTGTTTGAAGAAATAGGTGCATGCAATGGTACCGATATCAGAGCGGCAATGCGGACACTGTGGGCAGATTTCCGCGTTAGAGAGGAGTTGTGATGGCCGCTTCTACTGTGATTTCTGCTGCGTGCAATTTGATGATTTATTTGTATATGATTGGTTTGATGTTGGGAACTTAAGATCTTCATACTGTATTAGTTCTTCTGACTCTGAACGATCTGAACGAGTACGTGATTATTGTGATGTTGATGATGATGATGATGATGATGATGACGACGATGATGTTTTTTCTGATGAACAACTAATAAGTGATTTAGATGATGATGATGATGATGATCATAATGTTGTTTCAGATGTTACACCACCTTCTGATGAACAATTATTAAGTGATTTAGATGGTAATAATATTAATTCAGATGTCTTGGGTGATGGAGTTGTACCTACTGAACTATCAATTACTGATTTTGGCTCTTCCGAGAAGAATGTCAGCGTCCAGCAGCCAAGTAATCGAGCTAGTGGCGAACCAGTCGAGCTAGTGAAGAATCGTGATGAAATCATTGAGTGCCAAGACAAGGACGAAGAACAAGACTAGGAAGAAGAATCCGATTTCAGCGGCCGTGAAAGACTTTATTGTTTTCCTATTTTATTTAAAAATAATCTATTACTTTTTTATGTAAGTCTCCGGTATGGACGACTATGAGTAGAGGATGTTAAGTGTTTTCTTTATTCTGTATAAGTCGGAGTTATTGTCCTTGTTTAGTTACTTCTCTTCTTAGACTTATATTATTTGGACGTTTTTATGTTATTAAATTGAGAGATTAAAATTCTCCTTTGTTGTTCTTCAACAACTTTTCGAGATATTTGCTAATGATTTACAACAAGGAGTTTATTCCATATTGATTTCAATTGTAGATATTGAGTCCTGATTTGGAGCTTATTCAACTTTTTTTTCTTTTTTTTTTTTCTTTTTTTTTTATTTATTTATGGGAATTGCTCCAATATTTATTTCTATTGTAGATACATTGTTCTATGTTGTTACTTATCTTGTATGGTTGTTTAATCTAGAGGTGAGAACTTGGTATAGATGCATTTACTGTTATATATTCTTTTATCGAGAATGTGTGGTATGTATGTACCTTCATATCTTGTGAATATGTTCATCCTTTTGTAATTTTTGGTTCTGATTATTACTTTTTTGATATAGCTTAAACATATTGTTTAACACTTGTTTGTCGATTTTAGACTGTTAAAGACATGTTATGCTTTTGTTAGCTAACTAAGATTTCTTATATGTGCACCACAACTTTGCTGTTGTGGATATAATAAGCATTGGCATTTCTGCCGGTGATTGCTTTTGAAAGTGGAACCAGGAGAAAGAAATATTCCTATCTATCGTCTATAGAATTTATTCTTAAGCTCCGCTAATATGTTAGCATAAAACAAACGATCAATCTGATTTTTTTTTTATTTTTTTTTTGCACATGATGAGTTTCTTGTTGAAAAAACCTCTTCACTTGAGCATGTGCAGTGGTGGAGTTGGTATAGCGCAATGGTGTACAACTGCACACCCTGGCTTTATATGTTTACGTGTAATATTTTACAAAATCTAGTTGCAGTTCAGTTGGAAAAGCGTTAACTGACTTTCGTTTCGTTTCTAATTTTTCTTTTTCATTACATTTTTTTCTGCTCCACAGCCATGGACAAAGCAGCCACATAATTGTTTACTACTACTCTTCGTAACTTGATTTTTCCCTCATCTTTGTACGATGATTCGTAAATAATCGTTCTACTAGAATGTAATATTTGTGTTTCAAACTTCAAAGATAGAAAGGAACAAGTGAGTTTTTAAAATAAGTTCCGATTTGTTTTTTACCCCGGAAAATTTAGAGGTATCGGAATTAGAATCGATTATTCACTAATCCCTTCCACAAAAAATCATAAAATAGGGCTGTTCGTAAAATAGGGCTGTTTTCAGGAATATAATCTCCTTTTTTTTTTTTTTTAACTTATATTCTTTGTTTTACTATCTTTCTTCAGACACCAGGTTGGCAGGTTTTAACCTAGCCTCGACCCCCACCCTTCGTCGTCGTTGACAACCAAATAGAGCCATGACCACCATCCAATTTTCTCTCTCCCCAGTCGTGGGTACTCTTCTTTTAATTATTCTCCTCCACTCTCATATCTCTCTTTTTTCTCGTGCATATCATCCTTTCTCTCTCTCGATTCATACAAAAAAAAAAAAAAAAAACAAAGACAAAAGGGTTTCTTTTTCTCTCCCCCGTTTGTTTCTTATTTATATCTTGGCTTCATCAATTTGACAGATATTTTTACAGATGATTTCTCTACTGTTGTATTTTGGGAATTTTTGTCCAGTTTTTAGGTTTTGTTTCTTCTTTATATCTTGGCTTTATCAATTTGGCAGATATTTTTACAAATGATTTATGTACTGCTGTGTTTCGGGAATTTTTGTCCAGTCTTTAGGTTTGGTTTTTACCCGTTTCGACTGCAGGAGCATGTTAACTAGTGATCGTCTAGTCTTCATGTACGTTACAATTACCTAGATTAATATATACCTTGTAATATTCTCTATATATAATCAATACAAATCAACACATACATTATAGTGATTTTCTATTATTCCTCAATTCTAATAATATATTGATGATGCTAATTACTTAGATCACCTGGGGTAGTGTAGAAAATGAATTGGGAGAGCAAAGCAGATCAGTAGCTTGACAACTTGATGATTCTGAGGTACCTGCGATCATCGAACACGTGAACTAAGCCGGGGGTTGATCCGGCGGAAACCCCTCCGACGCTCAAGTCAGACGTGCTGATAGTAGAAGTAGTCCAGAGAATACGTATTGTAGTATTGCTCATTTAATAGGACGTACCTTAAGGAATGAGTTCAAACATTTATTTATAGCTTAGTTGAGATTGTCGGGCCCAAACCTTACTTGAAGGTGATTGGGCCTCGGTGATAGTAGTCTTCGATATTGGGCTCGTGGCCCAGTAGGTAAATAATTTGTAGGCCCATTGGGTTGGGTCAACTAGGCATATCATTAAGCCCCCCACTCTCGAGTCGATGTGGGGGCCATGTTGAAATGGGTGACAGATCGTGTCGAGAGTGAAAATTGTAGTGGTCGATGGTGTGCGAAAACGCGTTGGAGCGTCTGTCGGAGGGGCGTGAATGCGCGTTGGCGCGTAGCGCGACCAAGTTGTCGCCATGTAAGTTATTTGAGTCGTCGGTGTTGTCCCGCGATGATGTAGTAGCGAATTATCTCCTCGTGGGAGTTGTCTCGTCGCGGGGTGATATAGTTGATCGAGTTGTCTCCTCGTGGGAGTTGTCTCGCGATAATGTGGTAGCACGGATCAAGTAATCTCCTCGTGCGAGTTGTCTCGTCGTGGGGTAATAGAGTTGATCGAGTTATCTCCTCGTGGGAGTTGTTTCGCAATAATGTAGTAGCACGGAGCTAGTATTCTCCTCGTGGGAGTTGTTATTTATCGACATTTTCAATGTTCGGACGCGTTGCTTGTATGTGTTTACATATAGCCTTGTGCGTGATGTACTTGAGGAGGGGATCAGGCTCTCAAGAGTTTTTTTTATGGGGATCGTGACCTTTGTTAGACCTCGTGGGTCGTAAGTATATTTGAACCGTGGCCACGTTTTAATGAAGGACCCATCGAAAACAAGTAGATAAATTTTGAGTAATTAAGCTGACCAGGCTATATAGATTCTCATAATATCTCTAAGTGTTTCTAGGGTTGTAATCGTGCTAACTTGAGCTTGTGATTATGTAGTGCATTGCGAGCGAGTTGTCTCTTCGAGAGAGTTGTCTTGAAGTGAAGTTGTAGGAGTATTGGATGACGCGCGATTGAGGCGCGTGCGGATTGAGGTTGCTCTGAGCGAGTTGTCTCCTCGTGGGAGTTGTTTCGTAGCGAGTCTTATTATTGAGCGAGGTGGTTGCACGTGGGAGTTGCCTTGCAACGGATTTGTAGTATCGAGCAAGTTGGCTCCTCGTGGGAGTTGTCTCGCTGCGGGTTGTGGTACCGAGCAAGTTGGCTCCTCGTGGGAGTTGTCTCGCTGCGGGTTCGTAGTACCGCTCCTCGTGGGAGTTTCCTCGCTGCGGGTCGTAGGATGGAGCGAGTGGTCTCCTCGTAGGAGTTATCTCGCTGTGGGTTCGTAGACCCGAGGGAGTTGACTCCTCGTGGGAGTTGCCTCGCAACGGGTTATATGACTGAGCGAGTTATCTCCTTGTGGGAGTTGTCTTGCTGCCGGTTGTAGTACCGAGCGAGTTGGCTCCTCGTGGGAGTTGTCTCACTACGGGTTGTAGTACCGGGCGAGTTGGCTCCTCCTGGGAGTTGTCTCGCTGCGAATTGTGGGACAGAGCGAGTGGTCTCCTCGTGGGAGTTATCTCGCTGTGGTTATGAGACCCGAGGGAGTTGGCTCCTCGTGGGAGTTACCTCGCAACGGGTTATAGGGCGGAGCGAGTGGTCTCCTCGTGGGAGTTATCTCGCTATGGTTTCGTAGACCCGAGGGAGTTGGCTCCTCGTGGGAGTTGTCTCGCTGCGGGTTGTAAGACGGAGCGAGTGGTCTCCTCGTGGGAGTTATCTCGCTATGATTTCATAGACCCGAGGGAGTTGGCTCCTCGTGGGAGTTGTCTCGCTGCGGGTTGTAGGACGGAGCGAGTGGTCTCCTCGTGGGAGTTATCTCGCTATGGTTTCGTAGACCCGAGGGAGTTGGCTCCTCGTGGGAGTTGTCTCGCTGCGGGTTGTAGGACGGAGCGAGTGGTCTCCTCGTGGGAGTTGTCCCGCTGTGGGTATGAGACCCGAGGGAGTTGGCTCCTCGTGGGAGTTGCCTCGCAACGGGTTATAGGACGGAGCGAGTGGTCTCCTCGTGGGAGTTATCTCGCTGTGGTTTCGTAGAGCCGAGGGAGTTGGCTTCTCGTGGGAGTTGCCTCGCAACAGGTTATATGACCGTGCGAGTTTGCTCCTCGTGGGAGTTGTCTCGCGGTGGGTTTGTCTCGCAAGCCCCCCACTCTCGATTCGATGTGGGAGCCTAGTCGAAAATGATACCGGATCGTGTCGAGAGTATATCGGTGTCGTGGTGAACCGATAACTGTTGGCGTGGTGCGGAGAAATAATAATTTTTTTTATTTTATTTTTATTTATCCGTTTGAGAGCGCGCGCGAATTGGCGAGGTGCGTTGGAGAGCTCGCGCAATTTGGTGAAGCGCGTTGAAATTCTCATGCGATTTGGTGAAGCGAATCAAAATCTACACGCAATTTGGTAGAGGGTAGTCAAAATTGTGCGCAATTTGATGGGAGCGCGATCCGAGGGCGCCTTAGGAAAGCGCGCGCTCTAATTAATTTTTTTATATTTTTTTTTCTGCTGACGCGCGCGCGCGTCAGCGCGTGTACGCCACACGCGCGTGCTGTGCACGCGCGCCTCTTCTCTCTATCTCTCTCTTTTTTTTTTTTTCCTGCTAATTACTTATATCACCTGGGGTAGTGCAGAAAATGAACTGGGAGAGCAAAGCAAATCAGTAGCTTGACAACTTGATGATCCTGAGGTACCTGCGATCATAGAACACATGAACTAAGCCGGGGGTTGATCCGGCGGAAACCCCTCCGACGCTCAAGTCAGACGTGCTGATAGTAGAAATAGTCCAGAGAATACGTATTGTAGTATTGCTCAGTTAATAGGACGTACCTTAAGGAATGAGTTTAAACATTTATTTATAGCTTAGTTGAGATTGTCGGGCCCAAACCTTACTTGAAGGTGATTGGGCCTCGGTGATAGTAATTTTCGATATTGGGCTCGTAGCCCAATTGGTAAATAATTTCTAGGCCCATTTGATTGGGTCAACTAGGCATATCATATATTACCGGCCAACATGTGTACGAAGAAATTAAAAGTGTTTATAAAATCAATATATACCAATTTGGATGCAAATATATAAATAAATAAAAATTATGCAAGTGTGTACCCTTAGTTTGGTAGGTCAAAATCACAATGCCGAAACTTTTCGCAATATTTTTCTCGTCTCATTGGTGCTTGATAAAGTTTTAAATAATACTTACGGTGGGACTTTTCATGAAATATTTTTTATTCCAAAGAATATTCTTAAAAATACCAGGTTTACCCTCAGGAGCAATTGTAATAATATCATTTCACGAGGGGGAATTGTAATATATTTTGTTAGAATATAATATAATTGTTTTATCCTAGCCGTTGTATATGATGTGTTTTATTGTATTGTTTATCACTTTAAAAGGGAGTTAATTGACAATTTTTTTGGGTATCTGGACGTATTACAGATGTAATATAAATACATGACAATTTTTTTGTTTTGATTCAGTACATCTGCCTTGATCAGTTATTTCTTTTGTTTCTATGATTTACCCTAGTAGTTGTTCTTAAATCACTAGCTTGAAATTAGGGGTGGAGGCACTTAGCTTATGACAAAAAAAAATTGAAATGTTTTTTGGGTCTGAAAATTGCTATTTGCAACTCAAACCCAAAAAGCTTTCTCTCTCTAAAAAAAAAATCAAAAAATTCGAATTGAAGCTAAATCAAGCCAAATTCATCGAAATTTTGAGGTATTTTCAATTCCTAAACGTTTTAATTGCATTGGGTAGGAAATTTCGGTTGTAATTGCATGTTAAACAGCCCTAAAAATTGAATTTTATGGCTGATTTTGGGGGAAAATGCGCACAATGAATGCGCAAACCGGGCGTTCACCAGCATTTGTCACGCTCGGTTTGGGCGTGCAAAATGCTGGTGAACGCCCGGTTTGGGCGTTCAGCAGGGGTTGGTTTTTTTTTTTTTTTTTTTTTTTTTTTTTTTTTTTTTCCTTTTAATTTCAATTTTACTTATTTGAATACCTCTTATATTTGCAGGATGTCTAATTGGATTAAAAAATTGAAGATCGAAACGGGAAGGGCTAGTTCTACACGATGTGGTGAACGGACGATGATTTTTAAACAACCACGAGCACTTGTTGATGTTGGATTGTTGATTTCTTTTTTATTCTATTTTGTTGATTCAGGATTGTTGGTTTTTTTTTATTCGGATTTGTCAATCCAATAAAAATACTAAGTTCGACATAATAAAATATTAAGTTCGACATAATAAAGTACTAAGTTCGACATAATAAAGTACTAAGTTGGACAAAGTACTAAGTTCGACATAATAAAGTACTAAATTCGACATAATAAAATACTATAATACATTAAATCCGATAAAACTAAACTAAATCAAACACTATTTAGAATATTTCACGCTTGACGTCTACCTCGCATTGTATTGGTTTCCCTGGGAAAAAAAACGTAAACAAAATTAATAAAAAAATAAAAAGCAATAAAAACCGAGAAAGTGGGGGGCGGACGCCCAAGCCGGGCACCGGAAGCTGTTTTGCAATAATCAAGTCAACTAATCGAAAGTTCCGGCGATCCACTGCCGGTGGAAAACAAAATGAAAAAAATAAGAAACAAATTAATTTTCTTAAGTAATAATAATAGATAAACAATATAAAAAGAGCAACAAAAAGTCTAATTAGAGTTTGAAAAGGGTAAAAAAAATGTATAATCTAATTATTTGGGTTTAGTTTAAATAAAGGTCTAAAGTAATGGGCATTCCTGTAAATTATAAAAGGTATTGGTGCCAATTCGTAATTATGTGGCTTTGTGAGGGCCTATGTCTAATAACCCCTTTCTTTTCTGATATAATATTAGACAGAAATACTAAACCTAAACGACGACGACAGCAGCAAAAATCTTCATCTTGTCAGGTGCGTCTCCGAATACAAATTTCTAATCAATTATTTGAAAGTAGTTGGTAAAAAATTATTGAATAACTTTTTTGAATTTTCAAAGGAAATTAATTGTGGATTGTTTAGTTAAATATTCAGTTTTGATTTTATTTCTTGATGATTCGCTGATACTAATTATATAATGGGATTATATAGATTACTTGTGATACATACATACTTGTTCTGCTATTGATTTTTCTTATTGCCTACATAAAGAATACGTATATCTACTAGCTACCAATTGAAAAGGTTTAATTAGCATAAATATATAGTTGATAATAATGTATATATTATGGTCCATATATAATATATATTTGAAAAATAGGTTGTGAAGTGCAGTGCAATGGCAGGGAGTTATGAGATGGAATGCAAATTCTGTAAGAAGATTGGTGTGTTTGAACTATATAATGGCTTCTTCTACTGTGGTTTCTGCTACTCACAAGCTCAGGATTTTATCGACTCTGGTTTTGATGAAGATGAGTTGCGCAGACGTTACCACTTCTCACCACCTGAACTTGAACTCCCCTCTTCTTCCGATTCCGGTTTGTATGAAAATATTAATTCAGATGATGATGATGATTATGATCATCATAATATTATGATTCCCGATATTAATATTGCTTCAGAAGAAGAAGATGATGATAATATTACTTCTGAAGATGAAGATGATAATAATGTTTCTTCCGATTATGATGATAATATTATTTGGGATGTTGTACCGACTGAGCAACTAGTAACTGATTTTGGCTCGTCCAATACTAGCGTCCAACAGCCAAGTACGCGAGCTAGTGCCCAACCAGTAGTCGAGCTATTAAATCATGTGCCTAGAGAAAGAAAAATCTTAAAGAAATCGATTGCCAAGACAAGGAAGAATCATGAAGCAATCATGAAATCATGGGCCAAGAAGACAAGGAAGAATCATGAAGAAATCATGTGCCAAGACAAGGAAGAATCATCAAGCTCAAATGTATAGGAGAGCAGATCTTTTGGATTTATATTTTTTAAGTGTCCGATTTGGACTATGAGTACGTATGATATTAAATGTCTTCTTTATTAGACTTATATTAAAATTCTCCTTTGTTGTTCTTCAACAACTTTTCGGGATACATTGATACTTGTGCACTGTAAAACAAGGGGTTTATTCCGTTTTCATTCTCTGTATTTGAAAAGTCAAGATTTTGGAGCTTTATTAAACTTTAATGTTTTTTTTTTCCTTATAGGAATTGTTCCAATATTGATTTATATTGGTTAAGTTGCGTTTTTTACCCCAATATGTATGTAGAACTACACTACTGTCAAATAGACACATTCTTCTATGTTTTTCCTTACCTTTTATGATTGTTTTATCAACAGGTGGGAGTTTGTATAGATGCATTTTACTGTTATATTCTTTTGTCAAGAATGCGTGTTCGCCCTTTTGTATTTTGGTTATGGTTATTACTGTTCTCCATATAGCTAAAACATGTTATTTAACACTTCGTTTTCCATAATGCCGGTGCTTGCTTTTGAAGGTGGAGTTGGGAAAAACATACATTCATATCTATTGTGGACACAAGTTATTCTTAAGCTCTGTTCATATATATGTTTGCATAAAATAAAGGGATGATAAATGTGATGATTTCTTGTTGAAAAAACCTCTTCCCTTGAGCATGTGCTATATGTTAAATCGTGTATTGCTATTGTGCTTTTGTCTATAATTGTCCGTATTTTCTTTATTCATCTTCAGACAGCAACTTTGCTTCATTTCCGTGTTGTCAAGGCAAACACCGGCATGAACCCCCGAGTTAAACGCCTGGCTTCGGTTGTGATTCCAATTTTGCTTTTTATGGTTATCTAACAAACGGTCCCCACTTCATATCATATTCGGTGATCGTTAAAGCACATCCGATCCAGGGAGTTGGATGCTACACTAGGTTATTTATATCGGATGGATTTGAACCGTAGATTTTATTAAATAACTATTCACTAAGCACACATATACATGAGTGTGTGTATATGTAATTATGTGTGGATCTACTGTTTAAATTCACTCAATATAAATAATCAGGTGTAACATCTAATTTTTCATGGGCACCCCTAAGGAATTCCACATTCTTAGTATTACTAGCAAGGTGCACGTGCGTTGCACGTGTATAGTCAATTATTTTAAGGAAAAATAGGAAATAGGCGCTTACTATGCATTAAATAATAGAGCCTGAGTAATACATACTTGTACATTTATAAAGACACTCAGATTTTGTAATTATGGATTGAGAAAGCCTAGGTTTCAAATCATCTGAAACTAGGGTTGGGTGATTTTACTTGCCTTTTTGAAATTCACTCTCTCTCTCTTTTCACACACTTGGTTTTTTTCCCATTGCCTTTGCTAATAAGTCTCATTTACTTCATCTTAACCCAATCTACAATATTCAACAATTGCAGAAGTATAAACATCAACATCATGGCTATCCAAGAAACCCCTTGTCTCGGTTCCACATTATATCCCAAAAAATCAGCACACTCTTGTTATAAGTCTCATTAAAAATCTCTGTACAAAAACCCTCATGGTTATTCGACTGTTTCCTTCATAAGCCCCTAAATTTCATGAGCCAAAGTATTTTCACAGAGTCTTTGGAGATTGTACACCTTTCAATGGAATTGTCGTTTCTCTATTATAAGTATATACAATCAAGTCTTCCGTATGCCTTTTGAATTCTTTGAAATGTCTAAAAAAAAAATTCATTTTATTTTTTAATTTCCCAATTATTAAGTAACGGGACTTAGTTGACTATAATTAAATATTAGGGACTTTAAGATATAGGTCTCTGGTCAGAAAACTTATTAGAACTAAATGACATGTCTAACTAAATATTTGCTTCACATCCTCTATAAATTTCATTCCAAAAATGTCCTCACACACAAACAATGAAATTTGCACGAAGTAATATTTAAACTATATCTATCATTTTTTCATTATGCATTTAACATTTACATTTTTGCATCTAGCATTATTGTTAGGAGAGTTGGTAACTAGCCTTACCAATAGGGTAAATGTCTAGGGTTTGAGTCCTCCCCTCCCCTACTTCCCCTTGTTATGGACTTGAATTTACTCAAAAAAAAAAAATTTGTTATTAATTTTTTTTGGTAGAACATGTTTATTTATTTTATTGTTTTCCCTTTTTTCTTTATAGTATTGAAAATTATGGTTTTTTTAATTTTTTTTCGGCCGTAGTCATCTATAGAAACTTGTAGGAAACCGTAGTAGCCCGTAGTCACGTATATACATTAGTAGAAAACTATAGTAATCCGTAATCACATATTTTCAAAACCCCAACTCCTCATTTGAACCCTAGCCGCCAAACACCCATAGACACTCACAGACAACTGTAGACATGAAATCTAAATATCTTATATCTCCTCCACCAAACCTAGATCTGTGACGCCAACGTCACCCATGCCGCTAAAAATGCCACAAATTCCACCCACGCTGCCGTCGCCACCCCCACCTCCAACCCCGAGCGCTGCAAACTAACGAGCGCCATCCTCATGCCCAACACCGCGTCACCATCAACGCCCCCCCCCCCCGAGCCATCGACAATTCCATCCCCGCCCTACTCACACTCTATTTCCTTCCAAGTGTC